ATTATCTGATTCAACTTTTGAAAAACTTGTATTTTTAAAAGGAAACAAAGATAAATTAATAAATTAATGATGTTAGGTACAATGTACTATTTAAATTAAATCCGGACTGTCAACTGACTTATATTATTATACATTGTATTATATATCATAATTTATAATATTTATAATGTATTAAACATTTTTTTTATTATACTAAAATTATTTTTATTTATATAATTCAATATGACTATATCAAGTAAATACAATTTTTAATTTATAATTATTTAATTTTAATGTAATCATATTGTAGTTATTTTTGGTAGCATCATTGACAATAATAAGATTATGTAGGTAATGTCGAATTGATTTGTTTTATTACTAATGTATAATTGTTACTGAATAAGTGTAAATTTTAATTTTTTTTATTTGTCATTCTAATTACTTAATGAAGTGCCCATCCTCATAATTTTTAAAAATCCAGTGACTAATTTTATTAAAATGTATCAAGTATCTCGATACTCGTTTTTGAGTATCTTGCCCAACACTGACTATACAGGTGTCCCGTGAGAATTTATCCATTGTGATATCTCCCAAAATAATGGTGATATCGAAATTCTGGTTTTGTAATAAGACTCACARGGATAAGAACTACAATTATTTCATATTTTAATTTATTTTAATGTTTTGGTAAAAAAGTTAAAAAATATATTTTTATATTTAATTATTTCCAAAAATGTTAAAGATAGCCGTTTTGTAGAGTTTATTTTTCTGAAAATATTAACGTTTCAAAATTTTATTTTCATTAATTTTCTGATTTTTAAAATTTTTTTTAGTTCGAGAAAAATTGCGAATTATTTAACACTATAATGTTATCAAACATATGACCCACCATGTCGAGCACATTCCCATACGGCTGGCCGAATACTTTCCGTGTTCCTAATAGTTATAAATTTATAATCATATTTTATTTCTTTGAAACTAGAAAAAGTATTAAAAATCAAGAAATTAATGAAAATAAAATTTTGAAACGTCAATATTTTCTGAAAAATAAATTCTATAAAATGGCTATCATTAATTTTTTTGGAAATAATTAAATAAAAAATATATTTTAAATTTTTTACTAAAACAATTAAATAAATTAAAAAATGAAATAATTATAGTTTTTATCCCAATGAATCTTATTATAAAACCAGAATTTTGATATCTCCATTATTCCGTGAGATATCGCAATGGGTAAATCCTCGCAGGACACTCTGCATACACCTATATAATAAAATAAAATATTCATACCGATTTTTATTAAAAAGAGGAACTGGTTCCATAGTGAGTCTTCTTATATTTATTGAGTCAATATTATGTGTGTGCTCAGTCGCAATATAATTTAAATACCTATTGAAAATAAATCATTTTAATAATATTATATCAGTAATAAAATAATTGACTAAGCAAGTACTTGGCTAAGTCCCAATGTTTTCCATATTGGTAATATAGAAAATAATGGTTTACCATGTGCACATAAAACCAGAAAAATCCAAATAAACTTTTAAATTACCTATTTTCTGAGGGCTGAAAATTAGGGGCAGACTTTTTGACAGCATATATTGTACAAACATTTTCAGCAGTATCTGATGCATTTGTATACAATAAAAATGCGCAAACTATTAATGCAGAAGTACCAGTGTTTTCCTAAAACCAAAAATAGTAATTAAAAAATAAATAAGATAAAGTTTAGTTTTAAAAAATATTACTGTTGATTGGACAATAACACAAAGATTTGTGGAATTATTAGTTAGAAAACTATACATGTCATCGCAAACTGCATATATCTCATGTAAAGTAGGACATGTTATTGCTTTTGGATGAACTTCTATCACCTTAACATTTAAAAAACACAATTCAGAATACTAAATTAACTAATATTAAATATAATTATGCATTGACATACAACTGAACGTCCAATGGCCCGAGGATATGAATGTCCTGTCATGTTGTATAATCGACATTGTCTGTTGTCTAAACACGAAGCAATATTTTCTGAGTTTGTGTCTTGAGGAACAGTTAACACAGCTAGTTTTGATGTTATAAACACCATGTCTATACCAGATTTCACATTGACTGATCTAATTACAGATAGCAAAGTATAAGAAGTTGTCTATGAGATAATACAATATATTCTATTTCCCCTGTTGTAATACATAAGTACTCACGATTGAACTGTTTGCATTACTCGGTTAGATGTGTCTTTTAGATTTTTTAAGAAACTCCCTGCTCCACCACGTATTTGAGAAAATAAACCTGAATTAGGCATAGTTACTGGTAATGGTCTGCAAATTATTTAATCACAAACATTATTTCGGTTCAAATTATGTAAACCTTATTTATGCATTGTAAATTACTTCGCTGCTACTGGTTGCTGTGGAATACTAGGAATAGTAGATCCAATAGATTCCAATGGTTTTCCTTCACATTTCAATTTGTTGATATCCAATGAATCAATTTTAACTTGATACATTTCTTTAATGCGCTCAATAAGTTTTAATGATTCAAAAACTGACATTCTTAATGAAGGATCTGGTTGTAAACATCCCTCTAAAAATAAAAAATAAAATATTAATATTAAGGATATTAAAATAAAATTTACATACTTATTATAGTGATAAAATCAGAGTATGAACTTTCTATTTGTGACAGTGAAAATCTTGCATTTAATATTGCTAGTTTATTAGAATCTTCAAATGGATGCCGATTACAACATAAAGCATAACAAATACAACCTAAAGCCCACACATCAACAGCTGTACCAATTTCATGATTAGACCAAGTATCAATCATTTCAGGAGCACGGTACATTGGAGTTGTACATTGATTAAGCTAAAAAATAAAACAAAAAAAATTTTCAAAAATTTTAAATTCTAGTAAAAAATTTCTTGTACAAATAGAATACATTTTTATTATAACTATCACTCAGGAAAAAAATTAAATATTAAAAGTATTCATATTAATTTTAGAATCTCTTCAGAAAATATCTAATGTATATTATACATAATTTTTAATGAATTTACTTTATCTTCTAAGACAGCTCGTTGCTGTGATGTCCAATTCTCATCTGGCTTATAAACTTTTGTTGTACAACTTCCAAAATCGCATAATTTAATTTTACCATCATCACTGATCAAAAAGTTTTCAACCTAATATTTAAAAAAGATAAAAAACTGTTAGTATTGATTATATAATATACTCTGGAATTATTAATACATTTAGGCCCATTAAAGAATACAAAGATTTTAAATATATAATATACATAATGGAAAGCAAAAGGCAACATTTTTTGGACTAGGTATAGTTCAGGTAATTGGGTAAAAATTAACAATGTAAATCATTATGTAAGAAATATGTTGAAACCCTAAATAGGAAACAGTCACTCTCGGTTGCAGAAATTTTGTCCACTATTCAGAGGATTCAGATTGTCGAAAGTTTTTAGTTGGTTTCCAAGAAAACTTCCTTTATTGAAAAGTGTCTATTAGGAGARATTTTATTGTAATTTAATATATTTATTTGGAGACAAATAGAATTGATATAAAATTAAAATTATCAACTCAATGTCAGTAATGAATACTGTACATCACAACAGATATAACTACTAATTAGATTCTGTCAATCAAAAACTTAAATTAGTCATATGGGTGAAATAAAATATCTTTCTATGAAGGGCAGAAAGGCAACAGGTTTACAGTATCAGAGTCTGAACACTATAAGTTTTGTTAAATATTATTTGATTACAGAAGTTTGTCACATAACACAGACCTTTAGATCTCTATGAATGAGAGGTGGACTTTGACAGTGCATATGTCGTGTAGCTGAACACATTTGGTAAAATACTGAAGTAACAATATTTGTATGCAAAGGTTTTTCTCTAGCTGATAATAACTCTGCAACATTTCCTCCTAAACAATATATTAATATAATTTAGTAACAACAAAGTAGATATTTTATGTAAACCGACCTGGACAGAATTCTGTTAAAATAAGATACTCGTTTGTTCCTCTAGGTGAATCAATTTTACTAGTAAACGCTGCTGACATAAAATGTATTATGTTTGGATGACCACATAGCTTTTTCTAAACAATTGTAAATTATGCTTAAACCTATGATAAAATAATTCTCAAATATAATCTACTTACAAGTACATCGATTTCATTAAGAATAACTTTATCAGCTGCATCATCTGCAGMAAGTAATTTCTAAAAATAAAAATGAATATAGTATTATTCACTAGCCACTACTTATATAGGTATTACAGAAAGAAACAATAAAGTTAAATATTGTTTAAAAAATTCACAGAAATATTTAATAATAATATAAAAATTATAAAAAAAAAAATTTATAAGTATTAAAAATATGGTTAAAGGATTAAAAGTTTATATATTTAAGATATGTATTAAAGTTATGTAACAATTAATAAAACCGCCCCYAATAATAATATTATCATACAAGTTATGTGTACTTCATTATTTAAACATAAAACAAGAAGGTAAAACATCTCACCTTTAATGCATATTCTTTACCAGTATCTTGAGCTTGGGCTACAAACACCATACCTGATCCACCTGAACCATATTGCAAAATATTAAATAAAATGTACCTACACCTAATCAACCACTATTTTAGTTCTCACCTTCGGCTATAAGTCTTTTTATCTTTAGTTTAACATTGCCCAATTCTATGTTAGAACCAACATAATCATTGTTTTCGGCCGAGAAACTACTACTAAAGTAGTCGAGAGCAGATTTGAAAATATCAGACATATTTTACTAATAAATAAAAACGTTACGAATATTAAATTACATGTAACTTTATTAAAAACTAAAACTAATTCATTGTAAATAAAATGTATTGCACCAGATTTTAAATTTCAACAGTATATTTACAAATATAATAACAATAAACAGTTAATGAATAACAACAAAAGTAAGACATGATTAAAACATAATTTCAATTATTTGTAATGAATTTGTTTTTTATAAGTTTTAGAGACTATTTATTTATAAAAAACTTGTTTTTTTCTTCCTAGTTGTTTTCTATCTTGATAGTGTTATCAAGTAGTTTTCTTTGTTTTCGACATAGTACAAGGTCTATGGTTTTCGACTACCTAGGTTCTTGAAAGATTCTAGGTTCAAGACCTTTATCGTTTTCCGGGTAGATCCGTGCTCGGTGGATTTACCGAGGAATCATGTGGAACCACACTCACACAGTCACATTTATAAACATATACGATTCTAATACTAAATTATGGACTGTATGTTGTGGACTCGTGGTCGTGGTCACAAACTTTACTTTCAACAGTCACAACCATGAACGTAAAGCTGCAGTCGTAGACTCGTAGTGTGATGATAATATGACTATGGCCATAACGTAGGAACAACAACTACAGCTGATGTTTAGATAACTATCGAAGAGACGTATCCGGTTGTTGACTCGAACATCACATTGGTAAACAAAATGTTTATATAAGTGTTAGCACGTCGTAGTCCAAATAATAAAATATAAACATTAATGAATAATGATAATAAATAACAATGTCATAATATTGTCATCTTCATAACAGACGTGTTTTTGTGATTGTCTTTAAACGTTTCAGTCAAATTTAAAATCATATTTTTTTGTTTGTCCGTAAATGCGATAACATTGTCCGCTTTTGTTGTTTTAAATTTGTTTGCTAAATTTACCCTATTACCCTTCCCTATCCCTTGTTCACTAAGAGTTACAATTATGGCTGAGTGGAACGAAAGTCAGTTTCGGAAGTATAACATAAAAATGGAAAAAATACCTACCCTACAGTATGATGATCCAAAAGTAGACTCACTTCTTAAAAACAACGTAAGGAACTTAGTGTAATAATTTAATTTTTATATTAGAGTAACACAATGCAAGTCCCAAGCAATGGGATCATAATATGATTGTTAAATAATAATATCATTCACGTCGGATAGGTACCTTGTATAATAGTGTACACTCATATTTTTGTACACTTATGAATAGTATTATTTCACATCGGGGACTTCATAATTATTGTACTTATCATGAAATCATAACAATTTCAATAATTATACCTAATTTAAGATTACATACAGTATATTATTTAACTTTAGGGGGTTTGGTACTGATATTTGTTGTCTCTATCTTTCTCACATAAATCATAGTAAAAACTATACATTATTTCAATGTGTGTATGAGATAGAACAGTTACTTTTTTAACTTCATTTAAGTTATTTTTTTAAACAAATATTTTAATTTTAAACTTTGAAATCAAATTTTTTGAAAGTAGGGTGTGTATTTTTAAAAGTGGCTGATTGATCTCATTTACATCTCTTGCTGAATTCAAATTGTTTTTATAACATTAATCACTTTACTATATCAATTGAACTGATGGACGCAAAATGGGTAGTTCTTTTATTTATTTGACCTTTTAAATGACATTTTTATTTTTAATAATCAATAATGTTCTAAAACATTTTTAATCCTCTTTTTTAAATTAATTATTTAGAAACCAGTACTAATCAAAGGATCCAAATTAGTTTCTCAAGTGCTAAAATGGGATTTGGAATATTTAACAGAACACATGAATTCCATATGCTGTAATGTATTGGTATCGAAAAATCATGAGTTCAAGTATTATGATCAAAAAAAAATCACCCCTAATATGACATTCAAACCAATCAGTCGACCAAGCCCTATGATATTTTCTGAATTTGCTGCAAAAATAAAAGATTGGAAAAAAGGAGACGCCAGGTAATATTTTATAAACAAAGAAATGCTCAACATTTTTGTTTAAAATATAGTTTACTAGTTTTATGTGATATAAAATAAAATCAGTTGTATTTAAGAAATAAATCTAAAGTCGCTTCAATTTTTAAGTCATAGTGTTATGTAAATAAAAAATAAACTTAAAAATATTACTAGGAATATTAAAAATTACATATCATTCATCTTAATCATAGCATGATAAGTTTTGTATGTATGTTAATGTTAACAATCTTCTTTTTCATATTATGCACATGAACATAATTAACCAATTAATAAACACATACAAATTTATTGATATTTTGTAAATCACAACAGGTGTTTGTTGAGGCTGTTAGCTACTTTTGGTTTTTTATTCGATGGTGGTGAAGAAACACATGGATTGTACATATTATCATTATGCTTATAAATATATTCTACCTAAAATTTTATTTGAATCAGTAAGTATAAATCAAAAACTGATAAATATTATTGTATGGTTAACCAAAAAATCAATAGGATCCTTGGGTGTATTTTTCATAATTTCCAATACTCCATTTATCAATATAGGATTTACACATTTGATTAAAAAATTTACTATTTTAATATTTTCTAGTGAAAAGTGTTCTTTTTTAACTGTGGGTTCTTTCAACAATTGAGCTAGCTATATCAACATAATACAAAATTTTACCAACACATAACATTCATAATATGTGTATAATTAATATCAATAACAAATATTAAACAATGCTATTTATATTAATGATGTTAATAATTATGTACTCTATTCAGTGAGATAATTCATTAATTCTTTACATTGCCTTGTGCCACCCTACTATTGAAACTATAAAAAAAAGGTTCCTTTTGGCAGGGATAGGGTGTTGCAAGGGGATACAAAGAAGAATCAATTTTGATCAGCCCCTGACGAGTTCTCTCACTGTACAAAGTATAGTATATTTACATTTTTTTCATAAATATCTTCTATTGCTAAATCATCATTTTCAATAATTGTTGGATGAGTGTTGTATATTTTATTGATCACAGCTTTTATGTCACTAACTTTGTTTTCAGCTTCATTATCTAATTAATGTTTATAAGTTACATTTATTATTGAATACACGTAAATTGTAGTCCTGACCTTTTACTTTTACTGGCATACTTATTAAAAGTGAATTAAACAGTCTATCAAATTCTCCATAATCAACAAATATGAAATTACTTTTAGTTATTAAGAAGTACTCTTTAAACATTTTTGGTTTAAACAAAACTTCTAAGTAATCAATTAAATCACGATTTTTTCTTATTTCTATATTACTAAAAATGTTTGTCAGAAAATTATCATATTATAGTATTTAACTAGTTAATCTTACTCGTTTTCCAAAATATGGTTCATGATTTCGCTTTCAGTATATTTAGAGTCTAACGAAGGCCAATCGAGTAATTTTTCTAATGGATCATCACATACTATTCTTGGATTTAAATTTGATTGTTCTACTTCCGAATTATACTTCACTTTCTTCATAATATTATTTCCAACCATAATTACATCAATAATGATTGCTAAATTTGTATAAGAATTAATTTTTTTTCTATGTATACTTTCATATTTCATAGGTAGGTACTTGGATGTATTTCATCTTCAAAACATGTTAAGTCGTTTTTTTTATTGAATTCAAATTGTTCCAAATCAAAAAGTTTTTGAGCTTGTTCAGTATTTTCAAGAAAATTACAAATTATATAACCGCATTTATTCATTCTATTTTGTAATATCTTATTTTTTATAATTCTATAGTAATTATAATGTTTAAACTTTTATATTTTAGTTAACATTCTTAGTTTATCATGTAGACTGATCAGTTTTAACTTACGGTAATAAATATTTATCGCTAATTTTACCATTGTCTTTAAAATATTTTTTTTGCTCTTCCAATAATTGTTTGTTACCAAGTGTTGGTAGATTATTTAAATTATTTTCTTTAAATCCGTTAATAGACTCATGATATTGTGTATCTAATTTTTGCTGTGATGTATTGTTAATTGTTGAAAGTTTTTGGTCAACTAATTTATTATTAGTTATATTTTGTAACCAATATGAATCAATATCATAGACACTATTTTCCTAAAATGCGTGATACAATTTTATAATATGTTAGGTTATAAAATAATAAATATTATTTTATATTTTGATTTAAAAATTTAAATTAAAATTATATGCGTTAGGTTAGCTTAAAATATAATATATATTTTACTAATATTTTGAAAAATTCTTCACTGATTGTCACTAGATCAACAAAGTAAAGATTATACAAATATGCTAATTTCTTGGCAAAATGTATTATTTCATATGGTCCATTGATGATAATGTTTTTCTTCTAGAAATAAATATACATTTTAACTGAATTTAGGTTTTTATTAAATAAATATCCATTCTAGTTAATTAATTGTTATTACTTTTAATCATTTAAACTACTGTAAAATTTGTATACATAAAGTTTGTATACATGATAGAATAAAATACAAATCTAACTATCTAAGGAAGAGTTATTAAAAATGTATTGCTTCAAATTATAAGTGTTTTTATGGTTTTGATTTACTATGTCTTACCATAAATTTAGTTTTGTATTAACTTACTTTAAAATTTTTTTCGTAATATTCAAAGACTAATGTTTTGGTTTCAGTAAAAATCCGTGGAATAGATTTGTCCAATCCCATAAATTGTGTTATATAATTATCAATAACAGGAACTATTTGAATTGACATAGTTATCATGTCATAGACAGTTTGCTATGAAAAAAACTTAATTGAAAATTTTATAATGAAATGAATTATCACTCAGTTCTTATATATTGATAGTATAATGTTAGAAATCTATCAAGTATACCATTAAGTGTGTTATTATTTATCACATTTTATTTCAAATTTATTTATAATATTATATATATTTTCTCAATTAAGTGTTATAAAAGAAACTTACGGTAACCCATTTATTTAGGCATAAACTTATGTAATCACAGTATACATAACTTTTTTTTTGAAATTGCTTAATTATACACTTGGTTATACTCCGTAGACTAATTGTCGCGGTTTCAATGCCGACTATATATGGTTTGGTTACTTTATCATAATACAAAACCAAGTTTTTAACAATTCTAGAATATATAAATTATATTGAAAACAATCTAAATTATTGTGAAAGTTATATTTAACTTTGCAAGATTTTCTACATGTATAATAGGTAAATTATTATCCTCTTTTGGCACCAATATTTGTTCCGTGTCACTAAAAATCATTTTATATATGTATTTTAACATGTTTTCACCTTGACCATAAACTAAACCCGGTGCTAAGATTATTCCATAAAAATATCCACTGTACTGTAAAATATAAATTAGACATGTATATGTATAAAATATTTTAAATGCTTGTGGTTATCTTGTGTACTTCATCATTTAGTGATAATATACAATTTTCCATTTCATAAAATGACTGAAAATTTGGATGACAAATACGATCCTTATAATCATCTTGAGTAAATGGACTTTCATACTTGTTTAAAAATTAATAGAAGCTTAAATTATTTATTATTGAATAGTATACAATGTATATGGTTACTTTGTTTTTAGTTAAAGCCCATGTTTGTATACTTGATATAAGTATAAATACTCTAATTCCACTTTCTTTTGCAACAACACTTTTTGGATGACATTTTATATATTTAATTTCTTCTATTATACCTAAAAAAAGTAAAATATTAAATGTAATTTTGAATTAATTTTATAATGTTTGAATGAATTATTTTACTTTGTAATGCCATACTAGCTTCAGTTATTTGATTTTTAGCCAACGATATATCATACACAACTACTGCACATTTTTGTATTTCTTTCATTAATAATAGTTTGTTATTTGAAATAATTAATTTTTTTACATTTTTCAGGTATTTATACTAAAATTAAAATTAGTTATTCTATATCAAGAAATTTTAATTAAAATTTTTTTTATACCCTTTCATTATTGATGATCAATTTATTTTTGACTGTAGTCACTATATTATATTTTATTAATTCATTATTATTTTTATTCAGTTTTATAGTAGGTTTATGTATACTATAAAACGGTAGATTGTCAATGTTTTTTATGTATTGGAATTGCATTTCTAAAGTATCATCAACAACCTCCTCATTCATATATGTTTTATCTGAGACTTTGTTTTCTTGAACATCTCTTTTATCAGATACTGATTTAACACTGTTTGTTTTTTTATTTAATATTGAATTTTGACTCTTTTGTGACTGAGTCTTGTGAAATGATTGTGCTTTATATTTTTCATTGGGTATAATTTTTTCAGTTTGTTCAATATCTAAATTTATGAACTCAATGTCCGTAAATAGTGCTTGATTGATTTCCTATATTATAATTAAACTTGATATAAAGACAATACCATTCTTAAATGTTTTAGATTTTTATTATTACTAATTTTAAACCTTATGAAATTAATGTACTATTTGTACTATTATGAATTTAATTTCGGTATTCGTCCAAGATGCAATCTGCATTCAACATTATAGGTACAGTTATACTTTTTTGGACAAGAGTATGCTATTTATGCACAACAATTTTAACATTTGTATAAAATAATTAATATTTAGATGCTGTAAGTATTTCTACATGGTCAATGTCAGTCTTTTAGGTTAATTAGAATATAAGTTTTTTCCATCCTAGTTAATTATTTAATTAATTTTTTTTGGACTTTTTTAAATATTATTACCTATTAACAATAATGATGACTGGTGGTAATTATTTAATACCGATATAACTTTAGAGGTATTCAATGTAATGTAGCAGCAAATTTATTAAGTTTATTTTTAAATTTAATTTTGAAGCTACATAAAATACCTAAAGTGTACTAAATTAATGTAAACTAAGCATATCTAATTTAATCTTAATATTAAATGTTTCAATATTTTCTAGTTTTGAAACAGTTTATGATTTATTGATATGTATCCATTGTTATTTTCCTATTTTCCATTACCTGTTATCATATAGTTTTGTATTGTACTCACAATTAATTAACATAAAAACTAACTTTTTCTTTTTCTATTCTTTATAATATTATTAGTTATTACTAATAAATCTGCAATTTACTAACAATAAATTATTTCAGTAAATATTTTATTGAGTTAGTGAAATTAAATGCATTTGTATAGTTTAATTTCTAATTACATTTTACTATAAATATATGCTTACAGATTTACTATCAAAGCTAAATTAATTTACCTGTATAATGTATTTGCCATGATAAGAATCACCATTGTTTACAAATACCCTGTTTGCAGCATACATAATATGAGTTTCTAAATCAGCAATTCGGTTATCTTCTCGGATGATATGAACCTTTCTTTTAGATGCTTCAAAACCAAAAAAATCATTTTTTTCTTCAAATTCTGATAAATCAATATTGTTGATAATTTCATCTTCATTATTAGTCATATTTTATTTTATCAAATATTAACCAAACTAATCACATAAAATGTAAATCATGTACTGTTTTTATAATGAATAATGTGTAATATTTTTGATTGAAACATTAGAAAAAAAAATTACCTCTACTTTATTTTGTAATTTTGTTTCTATAGGAACACGGTGAATAAAAAATAAATAATTATGCATATCATAATATTTTGGTGCTGTTATAACAAATAATATTGTATTGTGGTTTTCAGATTATACATGCAACAAGTATTGAATAACTCAATTAGCCAACATATTGTTAGTGACTTTGTTATGTTCAATTGGGATTGGATCATTTCAAAACAAAAAGCATGTAAATGGGGTTCTCTGACATCTAATCTTCTTTTAATTGCACAAGAAGGTATAAATAAATAAATAATATATATATTAATAATAGTGTTTAATTCAGTGTCAAGTATTTCCAAATAACTTGGGTTATAATTTCTTTGAAATTTTATTTTATATAGTATGTCATTATTAATGAAGTATTTTAATTGTTTTTTATTTATCAGAATTTTCAAACATCTTTTTCTATTTAGTATTTACTCAAAATATGTTTCTTAAAAAATAATTATTTGACATTAATTCGTATTTATGCTTATAAAACTTTGGTAAGATTTTTGTAACAATAAAAATGAATAAAAAATATGCATTACATTCTGAATTATTATAGCTTGTATTATTCGATTGATTTAATCCAATGTTGTTTGGTATAAATATAACAATACAATTTATCATAGAAACTAATATATTTGGCTGTAGGTAATGTTACTCCATGTCATTATGACGAGCAACAAAATATGTTTGCTAGCATTCGAGGATATAAGAGATTCATTTTATTTCCACCTAGCAAATTTGAGTGTTTATATCCACATCCAGTTCATCATCCTTATGATAGGCAAAGTCAAGTAATGCTAGATTATTCATTTGAAAATAACACATATATAATTTTACATGGTTTTCTTTAGGTGGACTTTGATAATCCAGATTACAAAAAATTTCCAAAATTCAAAGAAGCTTGTGGATATGAAGTTGTAGTTGGCCCTGAAGATGTCTTATATATACCCATGTATTGGTTCCATCATGTTGAATCATTGATGCATGGTGGCTGTACAATTTCAGTAAACTTTTGGTTCAAAGTAAATTAATTTAATTTAAATTATATGTAAAGAACATAATATGTATGTGAAATATAGAAACATTAACAATGAACAGGGGGTAGGTAGTTAGTGTAAGTATTGAATAAACGAAAGGTGAATTTTTATTGTGTACAGGAAATTAAGTAGAATTGCAGAAAACAACCTTGGGAAGGGGTTTATGATGATATACTTCATAAATCCAGGTTCAAAACCTAACTTAACCTTTATACATTTTAGTAAAATTACAATAGATATACAAGTTGAGGATGGCCCATGATGCACAATGTTTGCAAAATATGTAATATTAGTTGGGGAAAGCCTCGAAGAATTGAATAAAACACAAGACAAGTGATGACCAGTGCTTGAAGAGAATGGACTATTGATTAGTTTGTGGCAACCATATATCATTTTGGCTGAAGTTATCTGGGAATTGATATAAAGTGACACAATATTATATATAATGTATTCAATACTTAAGATTGGTAGTACAAAGAAGGTCAGTGGAGGGCTTAAAAATTATGATCAAGTGTAGATGGATAAAGTGAAGAGAAGCGCCATTGCATAATGTGCTTAGAGAATAACAATAATATATTTCTAAGATAGAAGTGGGGCCAATCATATGTATGGATTATAATGTAGGGTAGTATACAAGATAATGGAACAGAATATGAAAATGTTACGAATTTAAGATGGATTTGTCTAGGTTATGATGCGCATAGATTGTGAACAAAATTACCATGATGGGAATAGGTTAAGAAATTTAGTCTTATGAGAGATATTATTCAGAGGTAATGTGAGTTGTTATGAAAATGAATATCAAATAAAGGAGAGGCAGAGTAAGATCAAAAAGCGACATAGGCACCCGCAGACATTTTTCTTGGGTGGGGGGGGGGAGCAATGTTAGGATTTGAGGATTAATATTATAATTTTACTAGGTGTTTTAAAATAATAAACTTTTTTATTATACTCGTGTACAATATATTATATTTTATTATATTACAACTTATTTTATACTTTAAATTTGTTGTATAGTATATAGTAATTTATTTTAAAACATTCAATTAAAAAAAATATTTTGAAAAAGCCTAGGGGGGGGGGGGCAAATGCCCCAGCTTGCAGCCCCTGCGGGCGCCTATGAAAAGCGATGTCTAGATGGAATAGAATGATCAAAAAAAAAAGTTTTTGCTAATAAACAAGAGATAGGAGATCAAACACTAATGAGATATAGGACAAGGATAGTCGACTCTATGTAGTTGGAAGTGTAAAGAAAGATAAATTTAGAAAAAGAATTATTCGTAAAGAAAATTACCATTACAATTTTTTTAGGCAGGACCTGTTGAAAAAATTGAGTATCCTTTGCTAGACCACCAGAAAATGGTTATCATGAGAAATGTGGAAAAAATGTTAGCAGAAGCATTACATGATCCAAATGAGGTTGGTAATATGCTGAATACAATTGTTTTAGGTCGATACACGTCTGACACTAATTAATAGTTCCCAATTAAATATGTATTTTAATTTTTAACTTTAAAAAAAGATCTGATTGAATAATAATCATCCAAACAATGAGGTTATTTAATACTTTTAGTTTATATAGAATAACATAAATTTCAATATGTTCTTCTAATTTTAACATTAATTTATTTTTATTTTTAATATGATTTTTAGTAATTTCAGGCATGGTTTAAATTGTTAAGCTTTAACAGTAATCAATAGATGCTACTTAGACTTATTGTTTGTGTATATTAAAGCCTTGGATCATATACACTGGATATATAGACTATTATTATAACACGAGGCATACTAACTGCAATACATATATAACTTTATTATGCCTAAATATCAAGTAGCGCACCAATATATTATTTAGATTTTGCTTAACAGTTCTATTCAGTTTAAAAATTTGTTTAAATTTCACGTCTAATGCAAATAGAATCAACTAATTGTGGTACCACTCAGTGACATACCCAGAAATCTCCCAAGGGAGGAGCCCACTAGTTATAACACCAAAATTATATATTTTAGTATATTACATTTAATATATTATTAAAATATAGCAATTTAAGCACCTATATTTAAGTATGCACAAATATCGCTATATTCACAACTTCACGATTATACTAGGATCACACTATGCGTTTTATTGGCAAATGGCAACCGATCGGCAATTGAACAGTAACGTGTGCAGTATCAACTTATTGTCATCAAAACAAGTATCAGTTTAGTCTAGACACAATAATTTGTCATTGATCTTATCTTTTTCTCTGTGAAGAAAATTGAGAACTTTTTGATATCTATTTCAGTATTGCAAAACAATATTTGATTTAAAATTTTTATTTTTATTAATTTCATATAACAAATCATTATTTAATCATACATTATAAAGTATAATATGAGTAGTATTGTGTTATACTGTTATATGTACTACATGGATGGTGCTGCCCTCTAAATATGCCACTGGTACCACTTCTCTATATTTCACATGTGGTTCCGATTAATGGTATGTGCTATAGTTCTATCCATTGTATATGATCAATCTACTGTAAATACATGTTAAATATAATACATTTTTATTAGTCATTTATGCTCTACTATGATTGCAATAATCTTCTTTTTTTTATTATTGTTATTTTCTTGTATTTATATTATAGTAGGGTGTGTAAATTCAAACTCACATTGTATAATTTGTGAACCATATTATAGCAATCATAACATGTATATAACCCTTAATATTTGATCGGGGCCAGAGTGGCGCAATGGTCACGCAGTTGATTGCGACTCACCCAGTCATTAGTTCGATTCATAGCAAAGTGCAAAAAATTGTGTGTTTTTACGCGATTATCAATTTCTCGTCATTCGGTTTCCAACTAGGTCCCACTTAGACCGTACATGTCTCCTCTTGGAGAAGAGAGGTAGTATCTTGTTGATTATAAGGTCATTCCAATGAATAAATACAGAGAAAAAAAATATTTGATAATATTTATACTTCATTTTTTACATGGTTTGTACAAACCGTTTAGTTTTAAAAAATAATTTCAAGGCTGATTTTAAAAAAGAACCTAATGGACATACATATAAGTTTAATAGATGAATAATAGTTTAATGAAATAAACTATTTACTATTTGGAGTACAGAAGTTAAATAATTATATTAATTTTATTTATAACTAATTTATATATATTTTAAATTTTCTAATATTGAATTGATTTTTTTTCTCAATATGTATTATATTGAACATTAATATTCTATGAAATTATTATTTTCTTGAACTTGTATTGAACATAAGTGCCAAATGCAGAGTATTAATGTTCAATTATATGCAATTTCTTATTTTATGATTCTATTATAACATTTTATTGACTTATGTGTGTTATTTAACATTTGTAAATTTTAAATACTTTTTAGTATATATTTTAACCTATTATTTTTAGTTCCTAAATTATAATATTGAAACATCATTTTATGTATAATTTTAATTTAAATGTGATTTCATTGTGATTTTAATATTATTTTGCTGTTTGCTAGTCTTCTTGTAATATTTTAACTTATTACATAATAAAATAATTTTTAAAGTACTTATTTTTGTTAAAAGCTGGTATTACATAATATATACAACTGTGTTTTAATTGAATATAAATAAAAACTAAAAAGGTATTTTATTTAAATTTTTATTTGAGGATAGGTGACCTAACTAATAGGCATACAATAGCACTAATAAAAATATTTAAAAAGCAAATTTTTTCTTAACAATAGGCAATTTCTTTGAAAGAGCCAATATAAAAAATCCCCGTTTTCTAAATAGACTACTTGAAAGGTATTATGCTATGCTGAGCAACATTTTTTCACTCTTTAAGTTAAGTTTATATTGGAAAAATGTAAGTTGAAAGTTGAAAAGTTTAAAGTTTAAAGTTTAATTTTTTAAAACTGAATACTTACAATCCAAACTTAAAATAAATCAATAAATACAAGCAAAATATATAGTAAAAATAACACATATAACATATAAAGGAAGCCCATCTATATACCCTTTGTACTAACAGAAGTATTTAGTTATTTAGGTAAATTTTATAATTTTAGTAAGTTAATTTTTCATGGAATCACAGCGGTTATGGCACCATCATCTCTAAAATGTGAGTTAAGCATTCCCTAGTAATGCTTATATACAAGTGGTGCACTGCACTCTATTTATGGTACAGGGTTTACMAGAAGAATCAATTTACATGCTTTTTTCCCACTCTTTTGGAATATCCATCTAAAGTATATATTTATTGTCAAGAACAACCAATATAGGCGCATATTTTATGAATGCATATAAATGTATAAAATATGTTAGGCTAAAACTACGGCTCATTTAGGATTATTAATGAATAATGATGAATGTATTACTGTAATAAAATATTCAACTGAAATTGGATCATTACAAACAATAATAATTTATTATAATAAAAGAATTGTTAGTAAGACAGATATAAAACTTAGTAAATCGTAAATGATGAGTACATGGTATAATTATATAAGTATATATATTTTTTTATAATGATTAAATACAATTTAGCAAATTTTTAGAAAAATAAAGTCTCGTTAGCAATTTCAAAAATAAATTGGTTTAAAAATATATAATAATTTTCAAAAAAAAAAAAATACAATTTTATTATTTTATTACTAATGCATTTACAAAAGGCACCATTTTGATTGTTTAGCAACATGTTCTGACTAGATACCAGATATATATAAATTATAGATATAGAATAAAGCTAAATTAGTAAAAAAAAATGTATACAACAAAACTAATATAATCTTAAATTTATGTATATATATATATATATATAACTAAAGTAAATTATTGAAGTTTTACTTTTAATAAATGATTATTCAATGTAGATCTGTCAAACATTTCATTTTATTTTTAAAAATTAATTTCTAATCAAAATTGAATAAATAGTTTTACAGTTGTATGTATAGTAGAAATTATGTTAACATATATTCAAAATTTGAAATTAATATTTTTGTTCAGAGTTTTATCTCAGATTCTCAGAACATTATTTTTTTCAGGCTGTCTTTAAATATATTTATTGAGCCAATAGTTTCATACTATTAAATGTGTAAATATATGTTTATAATCAATACTGTAAATGTATCACAAAGACTCAAACTAATTAAGTGTTTAACCAAGCAATTTGTTGATTTGACTATTAACAGGCATCACTGTTATTCAAACTTTTTAATAAAAAAGTTGCATCAAATAATTGCAAAAACAGTAATGAGCATAGGTACAAAATGTATATTAATACCACATGCATATCTAATATACCGTCAAAAGTTTATTAGGTATTGTATCTCATGTGGTGACAATTGACAACTTAAACATATTATTATTCATATTTAAAATATTTACTTAAAATTTTTTTTGACTAGAGGCATTGGTTTGCCGCTGTCAACCAAGTCTTTTGCGGTACTAGCAGCAGTCGGTCTCATGAATCCCAATGATTTTCTGGATGGTGACATTCCCGTCATACCGGATCTGCCTTGGTTTTCTTTGAAGCTAGTGCTCAATGGTTTTGGCTTTGGTTTGTTAACAGGAATTGCAATGCTACTGCCACTGCTACTACTTCTGCTAGCCATAGGTGTATCACGGTTGTGAAGTTGCAATGCATTCAGTGGTTTTTTGGATTTCAAATCTGTTGTCAAGTCATTGATAGCACGTGTATAGGTTGCAATACCAGGTATCTTTTTGACTGTGCTGACAGAGTTTGAGCTATTTAGCGAACTCCTAGAACTACGCAAGCTACTTTTAGAACTTGATCTTTCAACAGGTTTTGGTGCACTTGTGGTTCTAGCTATAATTGGCTTTTTGGCAGCTGTTGGTTTTATTACAGGCTTAATCGATGGAATAACTTTTACCACTGGTTTCTGAACAGTTAGTGGAGTTTTGAAACTACTTGTTCGTTTTGGCAACTCAGTTTTTCTTATTACTATAGGTTTAATAGATGACTTGAGCGAATTTGTCTTTCTTAGATTAGGCGCAGCGGGCCCATTACTGCTATTAGTATCATTACTTCCACTACTGTCAGCTCTAGTTATCGTCTTTGGTGTTGGTTTTTCGGTTTCAAAATTACCTGAAGAAGTCTCCTGACTTAGTGACTCAGCTGACATCAAACTTACAGATTCTTCAAAACTGAAAATAAAAACAAAAACAAAAAAAAGTTAATAATAATAGGCTTAATGTAAAAGAATAAAATAAGGAAATAGTAATGGTTTTATTTACCCTTCATCATTTAAGTCATGTTCAGTTCTAGTTTTTATAGGTGGTGTTAAAGCTTGCACTCTGATCTCTGGTATGAACTCACTTTTCAAATTTATTGATGATTCATCATTATCGTGAAGATTTATCTTAGTTACTCTGTCCAGAGCTTTTGGTTCGATAACACTTTTTTCAGGGGTAAGCTGTCCATAAATTTTCACAGCTTTCATAATATCACCATGATCTACAACACTTTGGTTTCTGGTTGTCCTAGGCATAGACGAGTATAGTCGGTTTCTAGAAAAGTCCGTATTATCATCATCAGATGTTTTGTACATTAGTTTATCTTTCCACTTTTTCAACCGAACATCTGTTTCCTCGTTGGCATTTGGTGATTCATATCCTTCTAATTTTCGTCCTAAATCATCTTCTGGAGTTTTTCTATATCTCCGGGTACGCCTAGCTGCTGAAAATCTATCAAATTGACCATCTCCTAGATTTTCTTCTTCAACAGTTTGAATTTTTAATGGAATTGACTGGGGTTTTACAATTTGTCTACGAGATGTTGGAGGTGTTTCTATATTATCTGAATCAATGTCAATTTTATCAGTTACATCCCCTGGATTAGTAGAATCTGAAGTTTTCCGTCTGGGGGCAAATGGTGGTAATAATTTTTCTTCTGGTGAATCCGGACAGGGTAATTGTTTTCTTAATAAGGAAGGACTTCTTATATTAGATTTTATTCCAGGCTGATCTGTTCCTCGAATATAAACTGTTAAACGATCTTGATTTGATACATTTTGTCCTAATTTTTCAATAAAACCCTTTCTCCTGTCTTCTTCTTTGATAGCCTAAGTTTGAGTTATAAATAATAATATTAAACTAAGTTTTTAGTTTAAATAATGAATATTAAAAATATGCACTTACGTGTAAGGGTTTGCTATGATTATCAAAATTAGTTAGAGAGGTTGGTTTTTTACTTCGTTTCAGATTAGTATCAGTTTCTTCTGATGTATTTGGTACATTTAAGTTAGATTTACGCCATTGAGATTTATCTTTGACCGGAGGTTGAGCTTCTAAAACAATTTAGAGTTAATATTTTAGTTCTTGGCTAATTCAAAGATTTTTCTTACCAGCAATTGCTTCCATAACACCAACAACATCAGTTTTATCAATAGTAGGTCTCCAATCAGCATATACTCTTTTATATCCATCTTTGTTAGCATCAGCTAATTTTCCTTCAGGTAATGTATCCAAAATGCTACTACGACCATCACTCTCAGAGTCATTTTCTAATGATCGTCTATTATTTTGTATTCGTTGAGTCTTTCGCCGTAAATCGTCAGAATCTTTATCTTCTTTTTCATTCTCTTGCAGCCATGCTTCAATCTTTTGTCTCCATGCTCTATAAATAAACATAACAATAATTTATTTGTTCTTAAACATAATTTGTATTTTATTTTTATTATACTTTGGCTTAGATTCTTCTTCAGGAGTTGATGCTGCAGTAGATACAATTGACTTTGTTTCAACAACGGGTGATGGTGAATTTGCTCGCTCTCTATCAGCGCTGAAATCAGCACTTAATAAGTCAGGTCTTTTTTTACCACTACCTCTGAATCTCCTTGCCCACGAACGGTCTATTAAATGAATAGGATATGGTAAATATTGATCACAACAACATTTTTTAAAGAACTGACATTTCACCAAATATTTCTATTATTAAGTAACAATTAAACTGTTTTTTGTAGTGTATAGAATATTAAATATGGAGACTTAAAACTTTTGACTTTTAGTTACATTATTATTTTTATAGCAGATAAGTTTTTAAAATCTTAAGAATAACTTAGCTATTTATAGACATTTAAAACTTTTACGTTTATAGTTTAATTTTTGATTTATGTTAGTTATATTTTTCATTTATTGGTCGGAAAAATTAAAAAATTATTTTTTTTATATATTATATTTAATACTTATTTAATACTTATTTATAACTTTCTTTATTAGATATATCATAGTAGGTAGGTATTTTAGTAGATAATATTTAATTCATAGAATTTTAATAATATTAATCGATTATTTAACATAACAAAAATAATTTGATTAATTAATAAATAAATTGCATAATATTATTTATTTTTTTAAATTTAATAAAATAATATTCATTACCTAAACTACCCCATGATTTTCTTTGAATATTTGACACAGGCGGAGCATCTTGATTAGATGTTCGTAAAAAATCCATTAATGTTACTTCATCTTCTTCTGATGGCACTCTACTTCTTCTACGACGCAAACTTCCATTTGGGGTAATATCTTAGAAATAATTAATTTATAACATTTTTAAAAATGTCAAAATTAATCACTATACATTACATAATATGGTACATAATAATTACCTGGGGATAGATTATCTTCTTTATTAGGATTATCAACAACGCCAAGTCTTCGTCTAATCACAGCCGGTGAACCAGATATTGATACATTATCATCTTCTGAAGCCACAATTGTCGCATTATGTGGTCTTTTACCCTGGAAATAAATAAAAATAGAATACTCAAAAACGTTAATTAAATTAAATTATACATACCTTATCAAAACTCTTTTTATGAGGAAATCCTGAACGAATATCATATAAAATTGAATCAACTAAATTACTTTCAACATCAGAGCCATTGCCTTGTAGATCATTGGTCACTGTCAAGTGTATAATACATATAAAAATGTTATATAGTTATTAAATTAAAAACCATAATATCATATAAATAATTCATGATTTTACATAAACGTTTTTTCACAGCTAACTGTTCTTCTCTCAGTTTTCTTCGAACTAAAGCTTGTTCTTCTTGTACTTTTCTCCGTTCGTTTTCAGCCACTGCTAATCTAAATTTCATACAAAAACTATGAACAATTCGGAAACATTCTTCTAATTTGAATGTGTTGATATCCTCGCAAAAGAAATCGGCCAACGTTTTTCTCATGGATTCCAACTCAGCTATATCACTTTGTAAGCCTCCAACTTGTCTTTCAGCAACCTATTAAATTTTAAATTTTAACTTTATAAACAATAATAGCCATTTTTTAGTTTTAAAATAATATTAATTGTTTATTTTGAAACCTTTAAAAATTCTATCATTTGATTTTTAATATCTTGTTCAGTATTGGGAAATTCAATTTGTTTTCGCACAACTTTGAACCTTGAATCTAAAGCATTTATTTCATTTTGCAACTGTTCTACAGTAGTCCTAAAAATATATATTTTTTAAATTAATTAACGTAATGAATCAATTAGTAAAAATATTGTTTAAACACTTTAAACCTATAAAGGTTATTTAATAAAGGACGTTGTATATGTATGCATTGGCCCATCTAACTAATACATATAAGTATATATCATATCAAATATTACACTGAGAGAAATCCATTTTTATCTGTTATTTTAATATTAAAGAAAATTGTCCAATTATTAAAAAAGATATTATTATCGAGTGCCCCGCGTTTATTTTTTTAAGATGTTTTAATTGTGAATCAAGTTATAAGCATTTTTAAATTATAAATTATTTAAGAAACCTATGTGGATAATATTAATGTTTCAAATTTTAATAATAGGTTAATTCGCTCTAATAATCTAATAAATCAAAAATGTCAACTTAAATTTTTCTGCTATATATTAATATATATTAATATGATAAAGTCAACACATCATTTGGGTACAACATCATCAAGTATTAAGTATTTAGCTGTAAAATTAGTAATAACCTTTCATAATTAATGCATATTGTACACAATAGTTTCAAATTTAGGATTTGTAGTGACTTATTCTACATTATTATACAAATAAATTCAATTAAATGGCATATTTATGTACTAGAATTTTAAATTATAACAATTGATTACCTAGTATTTAAAAATCAAATGTTTAATATTATCGTTATGTGGACTGGTTGACTGGAGAGTATATTTTAAATATGAGGAAATATTTTTTATTAGTTATTATGGATATTTGTTAAGTACTTAAATGAAAAAAAAATGAACCTGCACCTATTCTAATATATATTAGTTATTATAAATTTATTTATATAATCAATAAAATATTTTTATGAACTAATAGCATATATTAAAATATTTTACTTGGTAGCTTCTTCTAATACAGACATCTCCTCAGGAAATTTAAGTAAATCTTTTCTATTTTTTTCTGCTTGCTGTAAAAATTGAATAACATTATTTCCCCTGACCATTTGATAATTTAACTGAATATTTATTTGCAGTACTTACCAGTGCTACATAATGGATAAGATTCATACCAGGTTTATTAGCTCTTATATCAGTGAGTTTTTGTAAGGAACTTAATTTCACCCCAGCAGCTTTTCCTGCATAGCCACCCTAAATTTTTAATGCTATGTTTTAATTTTTTCATATAAGCAATTTTTAAATGTTTTCACTTACAAAATTCAAAAAATTCCCAGCACAAATCACCATATAGAGTACTTCTTGGAATCGTTTGTTCGTCATTAAATCTAAATTGAATTGTTTCATGTATCATAATTTTGTATAATGAATTTCATTAAAAATATTAAGTGTTTTTATTACCTTCACCAGCGACAATCATTGAATTAATGCTTGGCTCGAGGTAACTCATATTTGACGCGAATTCCTCTTTTAATAACATACTTTCAATGCGTAACTTGTAACTAGAAATAAAAATTCACAAAAACACTATAATTGTGTTACATGGCATAAAGGTAAAAATCATTATAGAAGGTTAATCGCGTAGTTTTTTCTTACTTGGGAATGTCAATTAGTTGTAACAAAAATTTCTCGGCATTTCCCAATTTGGTCTTATCTCCTTCAAAAGCCCTAAGCATTTCTAATTCATCTAATTCTGGTAAGATTTTTAATAAGCCACGCAGTTTTTCTGCCCCTATATCATCATGATCACCATCACGTATCAATTGTATGATATCTTCATTTGAACTGAAATGTGAAAACACGAACCATATTATGTAATCATTGTATAGATATATGGGTGGTTAACCGTAGATATTATTTAGTACAAACTCTACAAACCTACGGAATTGTTTCAAAAATATATTAACGTTTAAACTTCGTTTTCCATCTAATAAAACAATCTATAATTCAAAAATAATTAAAATATATATTTCCAATAACAATCAATAATATAATCATAAACATTTTTTTGAATAAAATGTTATTAAATTGTGCTGTTAAAGCTTAAAAATAATTATTAATTTACTTCTGTTGGTTCTTTTCGTTTTCTGTCACATTCAGTAATATCTTGGCCTAATCTGAAGTTCAACACTCCACTTTGATTAGTTGGTGCTGTAGGGGCTTGTTGACAAAACAAACCTTCCATTTCTGACCAATCAAGATCTGGCATGGGTGAATTTTGATGGCTTCTGGCCACAAGTGACCAAATATTATGGCGTCCAACGACCTAATTTTTTAGATTGATTAGATTACACAAATACAAACATTAAACTTCAGTACACTAATTTAAAGACAACAAATGATTATCTAACTGTATAATTGATAATTATTCGTACAGCCATAATTAATGAATAATCCTAATAATGTTTTATTTTCTTATTTTTTTGGTCATTGGCTTAGCTTAATGGAAAATGGGCTCGAAACAGTAAATAAACTAGCCTCTCTAAGCTCAACTAATATTATATTTATGAAAATTTAAAAATTACACGTAATATTGTGCAACAAATGGTCGTACCTTGAGCTTTGGGGCCTCTGGTCCTCGAATTGCCCTATGATAACGTCACGTCACCACTAATTTTAATACATCTCATACAAATATGAAATTATGACTTTAATCTTTATGCATGTATAGGTAATTATGTTGTTTTGACAAATTATACTTAATTGATACCTATTGCTGTCTATTGTCTAATGTCTATGCTGTTGTCTGTCTGCTAGGTATTTAGATTAGAATAGTATGTTTATGTTTTAAATTTTAGGAGATAACTAATAAAATAAATACAGCTCTATCCTTCACGATTAATAATTTATTCGATAAATAATAAATTATTTCATAAAATGTATTACTATTTACAACTCGGTACTCTTCAAGAGTAGGTAGTAGGTATAATACTGTAATAGGTATTGATTATAATAAATATTTAAAAAATGAATAGGTACAAAAAAGATTATTGTGAATTTGTGATAATTGGAGAAAAGCAAAAGTTAATATTAAATAAAAAATACATGAAAATATATCATAAATAAAGAATACTTAAAATAGTTTCAAATTAAGTCAATAATATTTAATATTTTAATAGATTACATTATTATATAAATCGTGCGCGTACCAATTATAGTATAATTTCTATGTAAATGTTTTAATAATTATAACCTATTGTTCTTATTTCAAAACGTCATCTTCTCTGATCCACGGTAACCTAACAGTGATTGATTTTATAAGCATTTTTATAATTTTTTTATAGGTACATACAATTTATGCTATTTATTATTTTTACGTTTTCCATAGACAATGACGAAGACATACGCACAACAGCGACAAAACAAAACAAAAACTCACTTTGTTGTCAGGGATTTTGTTCCAATTAATAGTTTTCATTTTGGCTTTAGGCGTAGGGGTTTCTTGTTGAGGTAAAAGTTTAGCGACCGCCGATACCGTGGGTGGAGGTGGAGGTGCGTCCACGGCGGTGGCCGAACCGCTGTTGCCCATCGCGAGGAACCGTTTTCCGGTGTGTTGCGCTAATTCGACAGCGGTAGGCTGCTGATTTTGAGGAAAGAAAGGCGCTGGGGGTACCGGTGGCGGCGGTACGCCCATCAACGGTGGCGGAGGTGGTGGTGGTGGCGGTGGATTCTCGGAGGACTGYTGAGGAGGTGGTGGCGGTGGAGGAGGTGGCGGTGGAGGTGTGACCGACGTGGGTGAAGTCACGTTCGACGGGCCCAACGACGGCTTGCGCCCACAACAGCACACCCGCAAACCCACATCCCTGGGCTGACTTTGGCCGAGAACGCTTGGTGAGCGCAACAGGCGCGATGCGTCCTGTCGGTTTTCGAGCAACGTCGAACGGTGTACCAACGTTTCAGCCGTATCCCAGACGATATCGCTGACGGCTTCTTTGGGATCGATCCTGAGCAGGTGCTGGAGGATGCTCAAGAATGGTATTTCTTGTGGCGTGTCTGCTACCTGCATTATACACAACAAACAGTCACGCATTTGGTCTTGGTTATAAATAATTAACGTTTATCATAATTTTTTAGTTGGTCATTGGTATTGACTATTCAACAATGATGCGCATGTATAAATGTATATTATAATTATTTATAATTATGTAGTATTCATCTAATGCATTGTGAGTATAACGAGTAGCCGAGTAGGTAGGTACATTAATGAAGTAGGTATAAATGAAAATTAAACATTTTGAGAAAATCGAGTTTTTAATAGGTATTTTAAATATATCTTTATGTGATCCTTTATTATAAAGTTTAATACATTCAATTTTTCCACTATAACATTATACCTAGTACCTACACTATGGAATTGTAAATAATGATATTGTTACTTAAGAAAATATATACACTCAAAATCGTCAATCTTGAGTCACTACACAATTGTATTCACAGTGGGAGTTTTACATAGGTATACATATACAAAGTTAACCGTTAAGACTGTCATTGTTAGCTTGTTAGTTATTTATAACATGAATTTTAATATAATGTTTATAGTATTTAATATATATTACTATGTAAATCGACATTATGAATTTATTTAGTATTGCCAACATCTATGCAATACTACGTTTGCCTGTACCCATAGCCATAGGATATAGCCTACTGTCTACAGTAAATAAGTAACATAGATTCGAAATAATAATAATAAATTTATAATAAGTGTGTAATTATGAGTATACATGTAAATGCATTCATTAATGTCTAAACTCCAAAAACTCCACTAAGCATGTTCACAACTCGCCGTTTTTTTCGTTAATAAGCGGCTGGTCCTCTAAAATCTAATGTTTAGCATTTTTAAATTTACATATTTTCAATATATTGAATTTTTTTTTAGTATTTGAAGAGTATTTTGTGGATATATAAGTTTCTGTTTTCAAATGAAAGCCACCATTTTCTTAAGTAAATCATTTTACAGAAAAATTTTAGAGAAAATTCCGAAGTAGGTATCAAAATGAAAATCCTTTCGAGTAGTTTTTGACTTGTATATGTATAACTATTAAGGATAATAACTAATAATTCCATATTATGACAATTGGGCTTGAAAATAGTATGGGAAATATGGTTGTTTGATAATTTTAATAATAAATATTAATCTATCAACCTTTTTATATAATTCGTAAAAATGTCCGAAGTATATAATAAACACTAGATCCAATTTTACATTTATTTTATATTTTTGTGAAAACATTTTAAGAACTACCTATTATCCTCATCGTATAAACATTTTAATAATTAAAACACTACTCGTTTGAATTTTAAATGGGGTACATGAACATTTTCAAACAAATTTCATAATTTACAGAGATATCTGTAAATAGCATAGGCATAGTGCAGTAAGAAATAATTGGTATTAATTTTATTATGTTGTACGTAAGTATAATATTCAATCAATTTGTAGTTAATATCATAATATAATAATTATATTGTACGGCTAATCACTTCGTTGTTGATGCTAAAAAAATAGGGTATTGCATGATATTATTTTTAGCCTATAAAATATTATACCCTATTTACTAATCACATATTTTAATAATTACTTAACAACGTTCTTCTTTCCTAGAAGTGTTTAATAAACATTATTAGGTACAAAAATTATGAAAATTAAATAAATGTTTAACATTTACCAATTATTTATATTTGATGGGTATACMTACTTAGTTTATTCTATCTAAACAATTTTTTTTATTTTGTATGTTTTTGGTTACAGTAGCTTATTAATTTAAAATGTTTACTAACCTGTTTTAAAATAGCGTAAAATACATCCACATGAGAGTTTATATCGACACCGCGAAAAGGTACATCTAGAATTTGTGATTCATCATTTTCTCGTTGTTCGTCAAAAACATCTAATTGTACCCCAAGATCTGCATAATGTATTGATCCTTTCCTTAAATAAATGAAACATACAAAAAATGTCCAAAAACTATTATGTATTTAGAGACTATAGTAAACTATATAGACTATAGCTTCGGTAATTGCTTAAGAACGACTGATGCTGGAAATAGCAATCGTTTTTATTCAGTGACTACGGAAGTTCATTTTTTTCTCACCGACGAGCTCGGTGTACTATTCTTGTATATTTAATTCTGGACTCCAGTGCCTGTGGCCCGCTGCTAGTTTATAACCATTATTTGGCACACAGCCCGTCTTTGGGTCGGAGACGTTAAAATAAAATAATATCATAATGAATGTCAAGTCCAAATGATATAAGAAATAATGATAGACAAAACTTCTAAGTTCTAATAAACTAGTTGATTATGTGTTTAGGTGTAAAATTTATTTAGCTAAAATTTTCTAATTAGTTTATTATTAAAAAATATATAATTTGAAACTTTATAGGTACATTTAAATTGTTATAAATAGGTTATGCAGAGTGTATATAATCAATATCTGGCAATTGTTCATACATGTCAATTTTATTAATACATCATTTTTGTAATGTTATATATTTAATAATTTATTTTTACTACCATTTTAATAATTTTAGGAATATAGATGTAATTAATTTATGATCAGGAGATGAATAAAAATAATTAATAGCTACAATGCAATTTTAAATTAACAGATTTAAATAGTAATAACATAATTATGCATTTAGTTGTATTATATTGTTGTTAATTATTGTGCATTCATGTATGCATCTATAAATATCTATAAGACTTCGAATGGTTGTTTTTAGATGGTACTTGGAAACCGCTGAATATTTCGAAAAGACATCTAATAAATTTCATGAAAATTGCTTTACTTCGCTAACGTAAGAGCGTAATCGAAACTCCATTGGCACCATTCCTAAAGGTTTAAATTCTTATTTTCAGTTTAAATATGCGTTCTGAAGCTCTATACGTGCCTTTACTAGACAGCATTAATTACTTTACATTTATTATAACATATATTATAACACTTATTATAAAACATTAATATTTTTTTTCTAAATATCACAGCGATATTATAACGATATTTCCAAAGTTTGTATTTTCTTTGTATACGAATAATGATTCTAAGCGAAGATTGTCTGTCAGTTCTTTATATGATATTCCCAAGTATATTTTGTAATATATTTTAATATATATGTTAAATTTATTTATTTTACGTGCCTATTATTATAATAAATTAATATGTCAGGCGTTATATGCAGTATAAATAGAATTAAAATTAGTCTAAATATTTTGAAATTTAACTGCGTATACTACTACAAAATTATAAAAAAATTTACTAAAATCGTTATTCTTTGTTTAAAATGAAATTCATTCATGCAAATTTGAAGTTCAATKTCTAATTATAACAAAAATTTCACCTATGTATCTTTAGTATTTTTTTTATTGATCATATTTGACATCAGCAGCAAAGGTTAGGTCATTAGTCACAATTAATGTACACAATTTTTTTTTAGATTTTATAATATTTTAGTATTTTTAAATAGCTATAATAATAACATAAATTAGGAATCTTATATTACATTTTTAAGTTCATTGACCTATCAACATTTTTTTTATAGAAATTTACAGAAAAAAAATTAAAAACACCGAGAATGGAAAATTGAAAATATTTACTAACAATTTAAAGAGAATTACAATATTAAAAAATATATCGTGTATAGAAAGTCCTAATACAAACTTTTAGTTAACAATTTAAGTATTTACAGATATTCTTTTTATTTTTGAATAACAGAAAAATAAAAAAATTATATGAAGAGAAATCGATTTTTTATGTGATCATCCAATTTAAATAAAATGTAATCTTTAGATTTTCCTAAAAAATATTTGTGAAATCAAGCACAATTTTTTTATTAATTCTAGTAATAATAACTTGTGAAAACCCTTATATTACATTTTTCAAATCTATAAATATTAAAATTTATTTACATTGTTATTATAACAAAGTGACTAGAACATTTTTATGATTTTGTAGAAATTTATCAACATTTTATTTGAAAACAATAATAAACTTATAAAAAATATTGTGACTGAACTTTCTAATATTGGTTCACATAATTAATATTTAACAGTATCCATTTATTATAAATCTTAAATTCTTAGATATAGCATATTAGGTTGAGCATCTGTTAACTATTGAACTAAAAACTGTACTTATAAATGCAGAATTTATACAAACCATAATTTTGTAGATAGGTTAATATTATAATTCGTAATACTCGTATTTATTACTCAAATTTCCATATTTTTGTTAATATTGATGTTTTTATTTATTATCATGTACGTATAATAATCGGAAACCGAAATAATGGTATGGTCAATTAAAAACAAAGTACTAATTGGACATTAATTCCTCAACCAAAAATTGTTGGCATCATTCGTTTAAGTCATAAGATTAAACGCAATGCTTTTACCAAAAGAAAACCGGACAAAAATTGCTTTAAAAAATATGAACATTTCCAAATTATCTTGGTAAGAATAAAACGTGGTAATATGTTAGACATTAGGTTAGGGCTTAAATTTATATGAATTAAATATAATTAAATTATTTACCTCAGTTCATTTAATAYCGGAAGGAGTTTGAGACCTGAAAAAAATATTATTTTAAAATTACAATAGGTAAAACAAATATCATTTATGTTTCATTAATTTATGTATACAATTAAATTTAA